TCCTAGATCTTAGTGCAATCCAGACTCAAGTTATTGTTGCTAAAGACTGTAGCAGAAAATCTGGATAATGTCATAAATGGAGGCAATCATCATGGTTTTAGTTCTGCCAAGATGCCTGTCATTAAGGGCCAGTTGGTCTTAGACAACTACTTATAAACTTAACGTTGGAAGAAATCTCTCGAGATTATGGTGCTAAATCTACAGTATCTGAGGGAAAAAATTCTATTGTTGGAAACTGTCTTGAGAATGTGGCATTGAACAAAGCCGCTTCCTTCTTGGCATGTTTAGAAGTTTATGATGCTAACAGCTCTGGTCAGGTGCCCTTTTCTCTCCACCAAAACTCTTAAGTTACATTTTTCTTAACGAGCTTCAGTTTTCTGGCCCTCAGTGCGGCATTGAATGTAAGCTCTTTCTAATAACATATTTTTGTGCCCAGTGGTTGCTGCCACTGCATTGGTATGGGATTGTTTAGGCCTGTAAAACATGATTTCTAGGTAGTTTCTTTCTTCTCTTCATGTTAGCTTCATTTGTAAATCTCCCCATCAGACTGCTGAACTGAATCTGCTGTTGATGCTTCTGAAATCTGAGTTCCAGCATCCAGTGAAGATCATCATCTCTATGATATGCTCTTTCCTCAGCTTTTGAAGTTCTAGGCCTTGAGTATATTTCTTTCTGCTACTTTTTTTTTTTCTGGGTGGGATAGCCCTTTAAGGTTCAGTTACATATACGTTTTTTTCATTCTTCTTTAAGGAAGGCTTGGCTGAATTTTTAATAGTTTAACGTGCTTCTTAGCTTCTACCTCATTCAGGACCAGCTGTGTTTGATGGACGAGTATCTTCTCTTTTTCTTCTTTTGACTTTGTTTTCTGACCTATAAATTTTTTTTTGTCTAACCTGTTCCTCTGTATTTTCTTGATAGGGCCCTCATAATGAGAGCTAGTGAAATATGAGTTAGGAGTATGCCCAAGTAATGTATTGTTCAAACATACATTGTCCACCTTCACCTCTTTTGTGTTGCAGCATTCCACCAGGGTTCTGTCCTGTCAGACTAGCAGACAGCCCATGTGTGGACTTGATCTATGATTGTCCACGCTGGCTCCTCTTTAGTAAAACTCACGTTCCTTGTACTTTTCCTTAGAGTTCCAACCCCCCAAAATTTATTGAGCATGTTTCCTCAGAATGTGAACAATATCTGTATCCCCATCAATGATTACTGAGTCTCTTTGAAGTTCTCTCAGTAATTCTTTGAATGCTTTACCCTGAAATCCCTAGTTCCTCCTCAAATCTATCCAGATTTTCTATAAGCAGCTCATATTAACCTCTGTGCAACATAACTCCCTGATTACTTTTATCTCTAGCCTTAGAAGACTGCCACTTGCCACTTGACTGTTTGCTGAATCCTGGTTATTTCTGAAAGGATCATTCTTTTCTGATTTTGGAGATCTTTCCTTATTATTCATTTACTTTTGAAAAATTTCTTTCAGTCCCAGTGTCAACTTTTCTGATCTAGTAACTAACAAGTTCTCTTCCCGTTTCCTAAAACTGTTTCAAAAGAAGCTAGAACTTTCCCATTTCATCTGAAATTGTCTTATTTGAAATATGTCCTTCTCCTCATTCATTTCTCAGTAGTTTTGTTTTTTCTTTACTGTTTATGGAGCTAAAACTTTTTTTTTTTTTTTTTTTTTTTTTTGCGGTACATGGGCCTCTCACTGTTGTGGCCTCTCCCACCACGG